AAAATTTGTGAAAAGGAAGAAAAATTTTGTTATTCTTTTTGTCAAACAAGAAATTTAAACGAGGAAAAAAATTCTTTAAATAAAGTTTTTTTTTTTTTGTAAAACTTTTTGAAAACAATATTTTAAAAAACTTGATTTTCTTTTTTTTCTTCTGTTAACATTTGTGAACAATTGGTCATTTTTAAATTTATTCTTTTGAAATCGCAATTTTTTTTTGTTTATTAATCGTTTAAAATCAACAAGTTTATATCAAAGAATCTCTAAAAATAGCCATGAAATTTAATTTATTCACGTGAAATATTGTAGTTTCTGTACAATATTTATTCTTGCGACAATTTTTTTCAGAATATGAAAAAAATTCACATAAAAATTGATGTTTTTTTTAAGGATATGAACACCTCCTTCAAATTCTTTAAATTTGTTTTTTGAATAAAGTTGAAAATGATACTTTAAAATGAACTGAGATCTTGCATATTAATTTTTTTTTAATTTCCTGGCACTATTAAATGTTAACTGCAAAGAGAGCCAAGAGAGCCATGGGAATTGTATTTGTAAAATTTTTGTACTATAAAATTCCAATTTCCGAAAAGCTGTAGAATGACAATAAGTAAATGATATCAAATACTTACATACAATGCAAATTTAATATCTTTGTTCCATCCTTTTTAAGAGATTCTAATTAAATTTGTAAATTATTGTAAATTACGTTTTTTTGCATTAAATAGTTAGACTCTATTACTTATCCAAATGTATACTTGTCTGAATGCCCAATTTTTTTTTAGACGTAGATTATTATATTTTTTGAATGACCTGCAGTTTCAACTGTTATATTCTCAAAATAAATTCTATAATATTTTTTTTTCCCATGGGATATGCCTTAATTTTAAAATTTGGGCTGTATGTAAATTTCATTTTTAAAAACTGTTTTTTTTTTTATATTTTCTTAAAACACCTTTTATTACTTAAGGGTTAATATCTTAGTTTTGTTTTTATTTTACGTAGAAAATCAAAAAGAGACTCATGTTTTTACTATTAAATATTTAAATAATAAATATTTATGTTATTACGTAAAATGTATAAAAAGAATACAAAAATATTTTTGTCCGATAAATGAATATTTTATTTATTTTATTCACATATAAATAAACTATAAACAGGACATTAAAAGAAAAAAATAAAAAAATTACAATAATTGAATAGGGCAAAAAGTATGACCATATTTTTAAGAAATGGAAAAGAATAGGTATTTAATCTGCAGGTTAAGGATTACTATCTATATTAAAATCTTTTTTTTTTTTATTGTTTGTTTTTTAAAAAAGTTAATTATTTTTTTGATAATGCCCTATAGGTTTTTGTTCATTTATACGAGTGCAATTTATGCATATATATATATGTATGTAAATATGTGCATATATTTCTTGTCATAAAGCTTTTTTACGTACATGTATATATGAGTAAAAATTTTTATGAGAGTCTCATAATCAGAAAGTTTTCAATATTGCTTAATTTTTGAAAATTCGCAACTTATGCTCTCTTAAGTTAATTATTCCCAAATCCCAATTCATTTTTAACCTTATTTGCTCTTCTTTGGGTATATTGGTAAAGTCAAAATTTTTCTATTAAATTTCTAATTAATTGAATCTGTGTAGTACAAATGCACTTATTATTGTACTCATCTGTTTTTCCGTAACATGTTGTTATGATAAATTTTTCATAGTTTCAGTTCATACATTTTGTAAATGATTTCATGATTTATATTTGATTTTGGCGGTAAAATTTAAAAGAATATTTAAATTTTCACAAATATTTTTTAAATCACAACCCTATTTAAAGTTTTAAAGGTTATTACATAAATGTGTCAGCCTTCTTCTCCTTTAAAAAATTTAAACCAATAAAATTAAAACTAAATTTATTCTCTATTCATTCGCACAACATTGAAAACTTTACTGATTGTTATAAAAATTAAATTCACACCTTTTATTGCATTTTTACCATTCCGTCGTCGTCTTATCTATAATTTCAAAAAAAAAAAATTTCCTTCTTAATTTATCTCACATATTCATACGTATACGAGTATATATAAAAATACATTTACATTCCACCTTATTAATTTTTCTAAGAAGAATTTTCTATTCCAGTATATCACCTTTTTAATCTTATCTTATTCAACACCGTCATATTAAAATAAATATTAAAGGATTTGCTCTTCTTTTAAGTAGAATTTTTATTTTTTTCCTAATTTACATATTATTACAATATTCTCATTTATATTTGTTTACATACTTATATATGGGTAGTATTATATTATTCTTATAACGTGCGTATGTGCTTTCATTATATAAATTGTATATGACAAACGTATTTATTGCATTACAAATTTTATTTTTAATATTCTTAAATGGCATAATTTTATTCTTAAAGCATAATGATAAAATAAAGAAGGTCCTTATGTTCAGATATATATGCGTATAGTTTACATTTAGAGTGTATGTTTATTTAAAATTAATTTTTATATGATCATTTATTTTCTCTTCAAAATGTAACCCTTTAACAATAAACTGATACTCATTTATGTAAGAGTAATGGTATGTATGTATGTATTTTTACATACCCTTTTACTGAAACGAATAAAACATACCGAGGCAGGCAGGAGGAAAAAGAATTATTATATTTTTCTATTTTCGATAAAAAACAAAAATTTTTTTATAGTTTCTTTAAATACACTTAAGAACGCTAATAATTTTCCCTATAGTAATAAGAAAATTTCCTGTTTTTTAACATGATTCGTCCTTCGAGATTTAACCCTTTTTCTACTACTTTCAGTTTTGCTCTTATTTTTTTATTCTTGTTGAATTTTCGTGCTATTTCAAATGTACAGAAAAGCAATTTTTAGTCTTTCTATAAAAATTATGTAACACTTTATATAAGACATTTTTTATAAATTAAAAAGTCCAGTTTTTTTTATTATAGACATATATTTATAATGCTTACCTACATTCATATTAAATTATTATGATCCTTTAAAATTTATGTGTTCAATTTGTGTATGCATGTATGCTTGCATGTTTTCGAAAGGAATAGGTCAAAGGTTTCTCTCGTTTATCTCATAGAAAAAGTATTTTATAATATGAAAATAAAACACGCCCAATACTTTAATAACAATATTATTTAATTTAAATATTTATAAATAATAAGAATTTATTACATTAAGTGAAAAGAAGAAAAAAAACAAAATAAAGGGAAGATGAGAATTGAACAATTTTTCTTATTAGTTTCTATTAAGTTTTAATTATTATTTATGATTAATAATATAGTGTTTTAAATCGCATAGAACGAAAAATCTAAAACTATTGAACTACTACATATATAACGCATGTAGGCAAATTTGTGTGTTCTGCAACTTTTAAATTTAAATATTGGAATATCAAATGTACTGCCCTGCTAAATAAAAATTTTTAAATGTGGTGGTCTTACACTTACCAGGGCAGTATTAAAAGCAATATGGGCTTAATTTTTACTACATATGGAAAATTTCATTTTATTATTGGAAATACTTAGTTATTTTATACTTTATATAAGATTTTAAAAATTTCGCACTTAAACACGGACTGACTGATAGTGACACAAAATTAATCACATCCCAATTTTTTTCTTTTCATTTTCCAAAAATCAATTGAACTCAATTCCATTATCCATATTTTATTTTTATGATTTTCAATCAAAATTCATTAATTCGATTGCTATATACAAAATTTTTAACAAAAATATTTAAAAACAAAACCTTATTATGTATAAAATCAAACTTGTTGTTACCATAATTGTCAACTTGACATTTTAACTATATTTGGTAGCATTTTTATTTATTCAATTTGTTTTTTTTATTTCTCATTATTCACTCGAATCCCTCATTTATTATTACTCACAGAATAATTTATACACACATGCATAAATATATTCGAATAACAAATCGATAAGTGAATTTACACACCGATAAATATGAATTAATTGCGGTGGCGGTAAACTAAGGTGAATTCAATTATTTAACAGACAATTTTGAAAGGCAGATTTTCTATTATTTTGTTAAAGTGTTTTCACTTTTTTCTTTACCAAATTTTTTATAACAAATAAAATAAATTTTGTGTACCTTTAAAATCCAAAATAGTAATAAAAAAATAATAACGTTTTCTATTTTATTTATTGTGCAAAAAAAAAATAAATAAATTTTTTTAAGGTTAAACATTTTTTTTTTGCAACGACGGTAACGTTTAAATTAATTTTCAATGTCATTATTGAGTGTTTTTTTTTGTTTATTTATTTTATTTTTATTTTTTTTTTGGATATAATTACCATTAAACTGCATAATTTCAAATTTTATAGGTTAGAATTACTTAAAAAATATACAATTAAAATATCAAAAGCCTTAATAAGACTTTTGAAAGATGATGATGAGATTTTAAAGAGATTTACAAAAATCACTCTTCTAAGTACAACTTCACTCATTAATGTCATTATTTTGTTTCTTATTCATTAATTAATTTTTGGTTGCTTTTAATGAAAAATTTTTTTTTTGGATAAAACCACTAAATATGGGGCGCCTAATAATAATATGTTTGTTGCCATAACATTACGAATTGATTTTAAGCTTATTATTTTTTTAGGTACACATAAGTAAGTATTGTGACTACTAAAATATATTTTGAGTGACAATAATTGCTTTTTAAGACATTTTGAGTGGGTGCATATTTATTGCTAAAGAAAATTTTTTGAATATTTTAATTTTTGAAGTCTTGATATGGTAATTTATGATTGTTTCCTCCAAGCATTATTTTGAATGATGATGATGATTAAAGGTCATGAAAAATTATAATGTTTTTGTAATTACAGTTTTTATTTTAAAATAAAATCGATTATACTTAAATTGTTATTATTTAACTATTCTTAATTAATGAAATTATGCATATAAATTAAATATTTTTTATTTTTCTTGTAAATATTTTTAGATTCATTTGTAAATAGTCAAGAATGGACGATATCACGTTCAGTACCAGATTTAAGGCTTGGAATTGTTGGTTCACTAAATTCAGGGAAATCAGCTTTAGTACATCGTTATTTAACTGGTTCATATATGCAAGAAGAATCACCGGAAGGTGGAAGATTTAAAAAAGAAGTATATATTGATAATCAAAGTTATTTATTATTAATAAGAGATGAAGGTGGACCACCAGAAATGCAGGTGAGTTTTAAAATATTTATTTAAGTTAAATATAAAACTTTAAAGTGTTTAAAAAAATAGCACAATATTTATTTAAACAATTAAAAAATAATCTAATATTAAATTATTCATAATTCGTATTGCAATTCAGAGTCAGTGTTATAACCCATTACGTAGTTCTAACATAAATTTTTAATTTATTAAACTGATGATTTTATACTTGAAATGGTTTTGAAAGTAGTTTTTCCAGGTTTTACCTTCGTCAATGATTTCAATCAAAACTAATATTCTTTGTTTTCAAATTTAAATTTCAATAATTCTAAACAAAACAAAAAGAGTGTCCTTATTTTGTTTTTTGTCGATAATCCTTGTTATAAATTTTTTTTTTTCTAGTTTACAATAAAGAAATTTGAGAAATGTCACATAATTTAGTTTAAAACTTAAAATCAACAAAGTGTAAACATTTCTTTTTTTTTAGTGTATTGTTATTCTTGTTTTAATTTTTTTAATTTCACCCTATACGAAAATTTTTCTTTCTTTTTCTTTGTTTAACCAAATTCAAAAATATAGCCAAAATTTCATAAAATGTTTTGGTATTTATCATTGCATGTATTTTAAATCTTGTTTAATATTTTCCACCCTTTGACATTTTACTGCATTTTTATTATTTTCCTTTATATTTTGTTGAAATTTTAGATTATATTTTTTTTTATTTTTATTAAATAATAAACCTTAAATCCTTTTTAATACCGCAATATATAAAATACATATTGGGTAAGGACACATTGCACGAAAGAATAAAGAATGTGCATAATTATACATTTAAACGGAAATAGAGAGAGGGAGAAAAAAATAGAGAAATATAGTGAGACAAAGGGATAAATAAGAAATGAGAGTGTATTTACTTAAATTTTGCATAACGAAATTTTCATATTGAATATTTATGCAAATATTTATAAAATAATAGAATTATAAATTTGTTTTTTTATATTTTAAAACGTTAAATAAGCGAATCAAATTATTTTTGACTATAAAATTGTATCATTGTTTAATATTAGTTATGCGAATTATATAGTGATTGAAAAAAACACAGTTTTAACTCATATTCTGCGCATACGATCATAATAATTAGAGTTTAAACTGAATACCAACATTTTACTTTATTTCATTTATTATTGAGTCAAAAGATTTCATTAAAAATAAGTTTCCTTTATTATTCTTAATCGCGCAGTTTCTATACCGATATATACATATACATATATATATATGAGTACACAACGATTGTGAATATGTCAAAAGAGAACTCTTGTATATATTTGGGATTATAATTTTAAATGTGTATACTTTTGTATATTTATGCAAATAAATTAAAGTCAAAAAGGATAATTTAGATTTCTATTATTTAAAATTTTGATGGCATCGTTGATTTTGTTGTCAAGAATACCATTTAAGTAAATTACACGTGAGTAATTACTTAGGGTTGCTCATTAAAATTTTTGTTTTTATTTTGTAACTTATTACCATGCTTATATAAGAACTGTATTTTTTAAAAATGCAATTTTCAAGGAAATGGGTTCAACAACTTTGAACGTTTTATTTTTTTTTTGCACATGATGTAAGAAATTTGTTCTAATAGTTTTCGTATAAGTTTTCCCTAGGATTTCAAAGTTTTCCTCATAATAATTCCAGACTATGAAAAATGTTATGTTTCAATAGTATAGGTCCTACTACCAGTTGTCTAAATAATAAAGGAGAATAATTTTCAAATTGTTAAAATTCATTCTTTATTTTATTATAGAACTTATTTTTTGTTTTATTTTTTAATTTCATTTCGCAAATGTGGTAACAAATTTTTAGAACACTCTGTATATTGTATATTTGCAAAATATGCTTGATTATTTTACTCGTTTAAAACTATTTCCTCTTGAAATATTTTACAATTTTTGTAAATGTCAAAGGATTTTACTATTAACCTCTATTTTTTTACAATATGGTATATCCGTTCTAGTTTTAGCATTTACCTAAAATTGTTACAATCTTTTGTTATTAATTGTGGCAAATTGTCTAAATTTTATCACCATGATAATATATTTATTATTAATGATTATCAATCAATATTAATCATTACAATAAATGTTATATAATAAAAACTAATCGACTGTGTAATTTATGTGAATTAGAAATTATGATTTCATTTTTTTTTCTTACACAGCAATTTATTTTAGAATTTTTTATGAAATATGCAGTTATCAAATAAATCGACAAATTGAATTTTAATTTATAAATTTACACATTTATATTGATTATCAATTATTTAATTTATTAATTTAATTGAACAAAGAAAAAATCTATTTTACATCAAAATTTAATTGCACTTACATTTCCAATCATTTATATTAATTTAATGGTATTGAACATTTATAACAATTTTATGCATGTTATATGAATTTTAATAATTCTATTAAAATTATTTTTAATAGAAATGTTATTGAAAACTAATGAATTTCTATATATAAAAAAATTCTAATAAATAAAAATATATTTATCATTTTCCATTTAATTAACGGATTGGAAAATTGAATTTTATGATTCCGAAATTATGCAAAATTAAATTAATTTTGCTAATATATTTTTCTTTTTTATAAAAATTTTCAATTTTTTATATTGGAATATTAGATACTTTATTGAAAATTGTTAAATCAATTAGCGGCCATTATGTTGAAGTGGAATACAATATGTCTAAGTGTAATATCAAATTTTTTAATAAAATTACTAATCAAATTTTTTTAAACAAGAGGGATAATTTCGCATAATTATTTTCAATAATATTACAAGGATTTGATTTAGTTACAGATTAATAATAGCAATAAATGTATTTTAAAGGAAACAAAATAAAATTCCGAGTGTTTTCCGTAAATTTTATAGTAAAAAAACCAAATTTTAAAGTTCGTGCAGGAATATTATCAAAATAGAATCCTATATCAAAAATCAATCAAATACACACTCAATCATACATAATCAATATGATTCCATTACATAATATTAAAAAGTAATTAATCAATGATTTACCCTCTTTCTAAAGGCAACCACGTTGTAAGCTAAAATAAAATTATTTTCAGTTTAAAACCACAAATTATTGTAAATTACTTAAAAAGAAAAACAAAATTAAAATTAAAAAAAAAAGGGTTTGTGAATTAGAGGGAAAATATGTAGGTTTAATCAATAAATTCTTCATGATGTTGTACACTAGATGCACACAAACTATTATACTCTTCCGCTGTCAATCAATCAGTGAAAATCAGCTTGAAAATTTTTTTAAAATAATTTCATCCCATAAATTAACACTGAATAATTGAAAATTTCTGCGTGTTTTTTATAAGGACAATATTATAGAAAATAAAATTCGCGTATAACAACGTTCAATATGAAATCAATAGCTGGGCGCACACACATATTGTGTTTATTGATTTATTTTTTGCTTTGTATTGTAAAAATGCTTTTTTTATTATAGATTAAAAATTGAAAGTTATTAGAATTTTTCCTACTAAATCACTTTTCTATTGTATTTTTTTTTTAATCCTGCAAAAATTATTATTAAAAGTAACAAAAATCATTTTCAACCCTATTTTTTTTTGTATAATGAAAAAAAAAAATTTTTAATATTTTTGCTTTACACAAAAGAATAATCGCTTCCATGTTCCGCAACATGTTGATAATAATGACTTTTTTTTTTATACTTCTGTTCTAATAATTTTTTATTGCAAAATTTTACTATTATACGCAAGTACAGTTATATGTATATGCGGTTTACTTATATTATAAATAATTTCAATTTTAAATTATGAAAGTGTGGAATGAAATATGTATATAGGAGCTGTTGCGATTTTTTTTGCAATGTAAATAACAGAAAGAGTATAAAAAGATTTTATTAAGCACGCTTTGAATATTATTTCCCTATATGCTCGTACATTGTATGAATAAGGAGATTAAACCCACCTAAAGCCGTAATTATTGCGAGTGATAGTGTGTGAGTAATATTGTAAGAACAAAAGATCCTTTGAGTTCCGTAATTATTTTAAAAAAATTTTGGTTACATAATTACTGTTTAATTCAATATGATAACAGTAAATTTTTAGTAGCAAATTCTATTGTGAACGTAGACTTTACAAATTTTATAATTAATTTTTGTCTTTCACTTCATATTTGGATTTAAGATTATTTTACGAAAAAGTGTGACTATTTTTATTTATTATAATTAAGTCACCCCTACAAAATGATCAGTTTTCAATATGATCACCCATATTCTGTTAGACAAATTACTTGAGGTGACAAATTGTTATTGAACTGTATTCTGGTTTTCAATATAGAATTTCAAATTTCGAAATTGATTTTATTCAGAAAATTACCAAATTTTTGAACTATAAACCCCAAGTAATCCGATAAAGAGAATATGAGTAGTTGTGTATAAAAATCATACTCTTCTAAATAATTCTAACTAAAAATCATCACCGAAATCATCCTATGTTCGGATTAAAACGTATGATACTTATGGAAAATATTAAAATTAAACACTAAAACTTTTATTAAATTTCATTAAATTGGTGGCACAATGATCAGTTTAAATTAACTTTAGAGTTTTAATTATTAGGAATCAGCCCTTAAAATGCAAAGTAAATTTTTTGTATAATAAGAATATCACGTTTTTGTAATACAAACTAACAAGAATAATAATAATTTTTAATATTTGCAATCTCACATAAATTAAAATTTAAAATCAAATTTAAGTATAATGATTAATTTTGTAAAGAATATTGGAAAGCTAGAATAAATATGCATTTATAAATAATTTTAAAATTTATTTATTCAAGAATATAGAAGTGCATGTATGCTTATGTACATACATACATATATGCACAACCTCAAGAATTTTTAAATGAATAGATAATTAAAATTAAATTATTATTACATGCAATAAAATTTTAATCACATATAGTTGCTTAATATACACCAAAAAAAATATT